GTGAAAGGCAGAATGGAGAAAACCCTCCTGGGAGAGGTAAGGAATCCCTCTTGATAACAAGAAAATGGTGTCAAACGTCCTGTCAGCAATGTGTGGAAGCAGCACAGCAGCTGTGGATGTGGCTGCAGCAGAGACCGTGTGCCTGGGTGGAGAGTGTGTCTGTGCAGGCCTGGGGTGGCAGAGTGGACATGAGGATGGAGACTCTTTTGCCATGGCAGATCTCAGAGTATATTGAAGAGGTGTTTCTTCCTGATGACTGCTTTATTCTCGTCAAGCTTTCCCTGGAATGGCTCTGACTTCTGAGACTGGAGGTGAGTCAGAGAGGTAAAATGTGGAGGATGTGATCCCATGGTCCTGAGGCAGGTGCTGCCAAACCAGGGTTAACGTTCAGCAGGCAGAGAGGCCGTGCAAAGATTCTGGCTGGTCTTTGTTGTTGGTCACCCCATTAACTCTCATGTCCTTCTGAGTTGACCCTGATGCAGACAAGACATGGCCATCATAAGAAACTGTTTGACTTGGTGTGGGTGTGTTCTACATTTGTGGGTTTACCTTCACAGTATGTTAGGATATTTGATCTCTGTGTCCGTCTTCATGTTCTGTGGAAGGAGCCAGGGCCAGCTCTGCCTTACTCACCTGTGGGTCTCAGCACAGGGCTTGGCTGGTTTGTAGTGTTTTCAGTTGGTGGGTTAACCTGACCCCCTCACACTGGTATTTGTGGAGATAGAGAACATTTGACTGGTAACCATGGATCTAGGGGTCAGCTGACTTTGGGTTGGGATTGCAGACTGAGAACTGCCACATTCCCCTTGCCCTCTAATCCTTACGTCAGTCTTAGCCTTGAAACAGTTCTGGAAGCCATTCTCAAGTGCCACAGTCTGTGGTTCCCACATGACAATCAAGTCTATCTTGCTGTGGGCCTTGTGACTCTGGTAACAGAGCTTATTTAAAAGCATTGGTGTAGCTTGTTAGGAGAGTAATTGCCTAGCATGTACAAGGTTTTATCTAGGGACCAGAAAAAAAATGAAGACTCCAGTTACATGTGGGAGTGTAGCACACAAACAGCAACCTTCTTAGTGAAAAGAATCTACTATTTATGGATCAAGCAGAGATACTTAACATAAATATGTTTTATATCATAATTTTGTGGTGTTGGAGAGTTTACCGAGTAGTTAAGAGCACTTACTGCTCTTCCAGGAGACAAAAGTTCTGTTCTAGCACCCACAACCTCCTGTAACTCCAGCTCTGGAGGAGATGACCCCCCTCATCTGTCTTCATGTATACCTATACACAAGTGATATGCATTCACACAGACAAACACATACACATGAATCAAAATAAAAGTAAATTTTGTGGTAGACCAGGCAGCAAAACATGACTACAAGACTTCTTCAAGAGCCCTCATGAGCCAGACAAGAGGCAGGCAGATCTCAGTTTGAGGACATCAGTTCTACATAGTTCTAGGACCAGCAGGACTACACAGAGAACCCTGTCTTTGGAGGCGGAAAAGGCATCATGACATTAAGGCTGAAAGCCATTGACACAGAAGTCTTCAGGTGTCTGTTGGTAATGTCCCTGGCACTTTGCAGGTGAATGCTGAGACAGTGCGGTACTCCATCTGCACATCCAAGCTCCAAGTGAAGCCTGGTGATGTGGCTGTTCATGGTGAGGCCGTGGTGTGTGTCACACCCAGGGAAAACAGCAAGAGCTCCATGTATTATGTGCTGCAGTTTCTGAAAGAGGATCTACCCAAGGTAAGACCAAGAGTCCTCTCATGGATAGATAGCCAAGAGTGGGGGTGGGGAACAGAGCACTACAGAGACCAAGGACGGCACCAAGTACTTCATGGCCATGGGCTCAGCCTGGTTCTTAATTGGTTTTGGGGTGTGGGAGTGGGTGGTGTGCTTGTGGGATTTGGCTCCTTATCTCTACCTTGTGGGTCCCAAGGATCAAACTCAGGTTGTTAGGCTGTGGCAAGCTCCTTTATCTACTGAGCCCTCAGCTAGCTCTTGTATTGACCTCTTAGACAGGAAGTCTGTCTGTCAATCTTCTTCTACTCTCTTCAAGCTGATTATAGGTTGGGGCACAGTCCTCTGAACTGTCTGCCACCTAACCCTAGGCAGTACCTAGACACTCTTGGAGTATATACTCTGCTGCTAATAATGGTGCTGAGAATGGCATGAACTAGGATACCAGCCCATTCTTCAGCCCTGTTTCTGAGCCTCTCAGTAGGGACCTAGAGGTTGCAGCATCTTGAGCATTTGTGTTGAACGTAGGTGGTGGAACAAGGCATCCCAGGGGTGTCCAGAGCTGCCATCCATTTCAGCAAGCAGAGGGCAATGGGAAAGTTTAAGTGTCTAGTAGAAGGTGACAGCCTGTGGGCAGTCATGGCCACCCATGGTATAGAAGGTACCCAGCACACTTCCAGGAACACGTATGAGGTACCATTGCAACTGGACCCTGAGCCAGTACCCAGCTGTTTCCTACCCCTGGCATTTGCTCTCTCTTCCCCAGCATTTAAACAGCAATCTGTTTTGGGAAATAGAGCAGTGTGTGCTTTGTGTTTGTCAAATGGGAAGAAGTAGGAGTGAAGTAGCTCCCAGAAGGGACTGCCTCCACTCACTCCTAGCTCTCCCTAGGTGGAGAAAACTCTGGGAATTGAGGCTTCCTGGACAACCATCATCAACAAGATCCAGTACATGATGGTCAACCATGGTATGAGCATCGACATGAGGCACGTGATGCTGCTCTCCGACCTGATGACCTACAATGTGTGAGAGAAGGGATGCTCCAGGTTGTCAGGGGTCATGAAATCCTCCATCTGGCAAACAGCCAGAGAGTGTAAACAGCATAGAAAGTACACTTCTATGAGGACTGACCTGGACAGGAAGTAGGTGTCACCAACAAAGGCCCATGTGTGCTGATGGGATCAGGTGTTTTGTTAAATTCTCAATGTGAGAATTTCAACACAACCAGTCATTGGAGGAGAAAAGCTTGAACACAGCTTTTGTCCATGTCCTGAGTCTTATTCTACAGCCAAACTGGCCATTACCAAAACTAGGACACCCAGGTGACTTGGGGTGATGGTTCCTTAACCCATTCCAGTGCTGCTTCTGTAGCCATTTCCAGAGAGTAGGGCTAGGGGCTCAGCGGTAGAGTGCTTGCCTAGCATGCATGGACCCTGTGTTTGATCTCCATCAGCACACACACACACACACACACACACACACACACACACACACACACAGTAAGTAGTGTAGTAGGAGCTGCTATGGGTGTTTGCTTCCTCCCCATACAGTAGTGCATTGTGCCTATATGACCCTTTCCTAATAAGCCTATACTGAAGTAGAGGACATTATGGAGCCAGAGGTGTAGCTCAGATGTAGAGCAAGGTCATAGTAAATATCCCTGAGTTCCTGGGCTCACCTCCAGAATCAAAACATAAACACCAGGTGTGACCATGGCAGCCCTGAAGGAGAAGGTGTCTGCAAATGTGTGATTATAGTATTTCACTTTTTCTGCAATACAGGTTTATATCTATTTGTTGTATATACATGTGGGTGCATAATCATGTGGGTGCCCCCTCCATTTATGTGGAGGCCAGAGATCAACCTTTTTTACTCTTCCTCATGAGCCATTGATTTTGTTTTCTCAAATGCTTTTATTAGCATATATTAATTGTGCATAACATGGATTTCATTATGACCTTTTTATGTATGTATATCCTGACATACTTTGGTCATATTCTCCTCTTGTTACCCTCTCTTGTGCACTTCCCATTCCCCCTTGTCTCCTTCCTCTTCCTCCTAGTCCTTCTATCTTCATTCCTTTTTTTTAATGACCCAATGAATGTCATTAGGGCTGCTTACAAGGACAGATGTTAGGGACAGGCTCATTACTGGACCATGGGCACCTCACCAGTGTTTACACCATTAAAGAATATGTCTGTCTCCACCCCCAACAACCACTACCTGGCTATAAATCCTCAGGTGAGGCTTCATGAAGTCCTCCCTCACATGATAAGATATTGACAGTGGCGGTCCTCTGTGGATCTGTTGAATGTTTGGCTCATTTCCTTGACTGGAATTAGCTAAATTGTTTCTAGTATCAGGTTAATGATCATAGGAAAGGAGAAGCAATCCCCCTTTCTGAAACTCATATTTTTAATTCTGTGTGGCACAGTGTCTGGGTACAATTGACAGGTGACAGGCTGTCCTTAGGATTCCCCGCGAACTCAGTGGCTTTGAAGCTGCACTGAAAACCATCTGCATTTAGTGGTGCCATGAATAGCTGCCTGGATGTTTTTATTGGTTCTGATGTTGGGATAATGTCTTCTGCTTTGGTTTTGAACTTCTTGAAATGTCTCATCTGATCATATTCTCTGACACAGGGTGAAGTCCTGGGTATTACCAGGTTTGGCCTTGTCAGTCTGACCAACAGGTAGGGTGGAAACAGGACCAGTCCAGCTGGTCTCCCCGGGGCTGAGCAGGATGGTGAGTATCGACGGCCCAGACCTCCCCTGTCCACTGGAGAAAAGTACACTGAGCCAGGAGTCTTGTCAAAGCAGGAATTCATTTTATTGCATCAGGAGTGGACTTATATAGGTTGGGGTGATGAGGGATGGAGTGAGGGTAGCAGGCCAATGAGATGATGCCATCTCAGCAGTTACTAGGCTGAGGCAATACTAGTTCAGGTTGAACTGAGTCACTCATATATGGAAGTCATGTCCGAAGACAGGTCGCCAAACTCAAGCTAGGCTCAGGAAGTTACACTGGGCCTCATGCCTGGCCCTTTTGTTTTTTGTAAGACATGGCCCCCTGTCTTAGGTTGTCCCCCACTTGGAGATCTTACCCATCATTGAGTGTCATGTATCATGAATAGGATAGTAGGGTTCACTCCATGACCTGTCTTTGGTTATTTCAGCCTGTCTGAGAGCTTACCTGTCATTGCTCAAGTGGAAAGCAGAAGAAGGGCGTTTGTAGGAGAATACCCAGCCATGGGAGGGACCAGACTCCTGAGTGGCTAATCTTTGGTAGTGTACCTCAACCTGATTTATCTTGATCGTGTCCAGTCTCTGGTGGATAAATTGTGTGAACTTATTGAACACACAAGGCCTAATGGTGAGAAGAATAAGGAGAAGGGTCCAAGGAGGGGAAGTAGGTAGGGTAAGAATCCATGAAGGTCTGTCCACAGAGGATTGTCTTGAAACTCCTGCCGTCTCCATTCTAGGTCTTCCTGGAGCCTCTTTATCTTATCCTGGACAATCCCCGACTTGTTAGCATAGAAGCAGCATTTCTCCTGTAAAAACAAACAAAATCCCCCCTTTTCCATAGTTAGAAGATCTAACCCCCTCCTATTCTGGAGGACTACCTCAGCCAGAGAGTCTAACTGACTCAACAGGTCAAGAATGGTGCTGGAGATGGCCTTTGCATCATCAATTAACTGAATGGGTAATTTTCTGAAAAGATGTGTGGACAGGCCTACCCTGGTGGCTCCTGTGGCCATGCCTGCAGTTACTCCCAGGCCAACAAGGAGAGGTATCATTTGAATGGCCCTCTTAGACCTTCCTCCTATGTAGTCAAAAGAGGGTACTGGAAGAGTCTCATCACCAGGGACAATATCCACATCCAGTATGAGTATGGCAAGGGCCCAAAGGCCTGTCCATGTCCCAGGGAGAAAGCGAAAAGCCATTCCTCCTCTACACACAAAATTCCCATGGGGGGACATACCTGCTTAAGGGGGGGCTAGTGTGGTTGCCAGCACAAAAGGAAGAGGAGACCTGGCCCACATCGGTGGCATTTGTACCATTTTGTGGTGGAGCCTAGAGACAGGAATTAGTGGGCAAAACATGGAGGGGATGCACCTTAATAGGTGGGGTAGGGGAACAGCCAGGTGGGGGGACAGTAGAGGAAACATCAATTTAAAAAATGTAAAGTTGAAATGGGAAACATTAATAGGCAATGCCAATGGTCGCAGTGGCCCTGGGTGGAAGCAGAGCCAACAATTTTCCAAAAGGGAGGGATTGATCTGATTAAGCATGTAGAGGATAGGCTGGGCATCAGCAGGGGCTAAGGGGTGGTAGAAGAGCTCGGGAAACTCAGCTTTAAGCAGTTGTTCCACTCTCTTTTGGGTCTGTAATTCCCACAACTGGTCCTGCACTCCTCTTCCATCAGAATAACCAATGGGGGCCTCCAATTCCCAGTAAACAGGGTAACTGGAGTGGCTGAAACAGGATTCAGTTCCCCGCTGGGTGCCTTCCAAAGCAGAACCAAATGTACCCAAATGGCCAATGCCATTTCTGATGGCAATCCAGTAGGTCTTATTATCAGTCTTTCTAATGTATTCATGCACCATGGTATAGCAGGTGGAATAGATTGGTAAAAGGAGGTGCAAGGGCAGGGCCCATATTTGCCATTTACTGTAGGTATGATTTTAGGCTTCTGTACACAAACCCATTTATGTGAGGCAGGTCCAATAACAGTGGTGCTGGTACAAATGCTGAGGTGTGCGACTTTACCACCACAATCTGCTGTGCTCATCAGCTGTCTGGACTATGGTGAGGCCTTGAACATTCCACCACCACAATCACAGGGTTTTCCGTATATCAAGTTCAGGGTTTCTTGTGCATCATAAGAATTCCCAAACCCTTCTTCACCAGGCTGGGCAGTCAGTATCACCATCAGGATGAGCAACAACATCTGCATCTTTGGTCGTTTTGGAGGAAGAAGCAAAAAGACTATCCTCTGGGGTGGAACACTCCCTGGAGCCATCATTATCATTGTCCCCTTGTTGGGGTAAATATTTGAGGTCT